TTATCCCTGTGGGACATTCCTGGGAATATCAGGGCTGTCCTCCCTGTCAGGACCAGCCCTTTATCCCTGTGGGACATTCCTGGGGAATGCCAACTGTCCAAGAAGGAGTTTCATGACTCCTGAGAGGAGTTTTTTTCATAACTCCTCTCATAAACCCTGAGATCATCCAAGCCATCCTTCCCCTGCAAAACTTCCCTTCTGGAACCTTCCAATCCCTCCTCCTGCTGATCAATGTTTGCTATAAGGAATTAAAATTACTGTAACCAAAATGTTCTGGAAACAAAGGAGAGAAAGGTGGAAAAACCAATTAGTGGCAGGTGCTGGCTCCATAATGAAGCGTGAAGGGATGGGATCCAGGCCTTAATGGAATTTTTTCTCCACAATAATGAAAGATGCTTACAAATCTTTAATTAAACATTGCTTCATTCTCCACCATCTCAGAGCAAATTTTCCGTTTTTGCTGCACGGAGACTTTGTAAAAAATCCATTTACAGAAGTACAAAATGCGCTTTTTCCATGCCATGGGGTTGCTTTGCTGGGATGGGATGGTTCATTGCTTGAGAGGTCTCACTCTGTAGAGGAATTCTGCACAGATGGTGGGGAAGGGCCACCAAAATCCCTTTATTTTCATGGAAAAATGCTGTGGAGAGCTGCCTGAGCTCTCCTGGAGACACAGCACAGAACCAGCTGGGTTCTATCCCCAGAAATCCCAAATGGAACCTGGAAAAAACCTGCTCAGGAAGCCCTGAGGTCCCATCTTCTCCTTCTTATTATTCTTATTCTTCTTCTTTCTTTTATTCTTCCAATAATAATAATAATAATAATAATAATAATAATAATAATAATAATAATTTCCCTTCTTTTCCTTCTGCTACTGAGGAATACTGGAAGTCTCTCATTTAGGGAGGGATTTTTGGGATATTTGGGTTGGGCCTCTTGGAATGATCGAAGTGTTTCCAAAAACAAATATATCAGAGCACAATGCTAGGATCCTGTATGGAAAAAAATGAGGGCCAAAGGGAAGAGGTCCAAAATGCTGAAGCTGGGATGAAGGTGATAATTTAAATTTAGAGTAAATCGAGTTTAACATAATCTTGGCCACGTGGAAGAGAAGATTAATGGCAGTGTTAATAGCACTCATCGGTTTTTGTCTTAAGCCTTTATTAATTGTAACCAGGAATTCAACAGCTGAAATAATTCCTTTATCAAATTTTCTGCTCGAGGTGTTTTTGCTGCAGAGCTCAAGGCTTTTTTTTTTCATCACTGAATTAATGTTCCAGGAGAGAAAATGCTTTTTTTTCCCCATGAAACTAGCACTGTAATACTTAACATGAACTTTTGTGTTTTACATTAATCTACAATTCTCTCCTCCCTCTGCAAATGTGTTTTCAAAGACTTTATTCCAGAGGAAATTTTTGGACATTTTCTGTTCTTTGCCATATATTCTGTGCCCCTGATATTTAAAAATTCTTTTGAATCAAAACTCTTGATCATGTTTTATTATTTAATGAGGAAACAACTTAGTTAAGTCCAGCTCTGCTTTAGTTTCACGTGATGCTCTAAAGTCCAGTAAATTATTTTGCATTGAATTGATGCCTTAAACTCATTCTGCCTGATCTTATTTTTGCTTTCCATTGAAGTATCATACTGATGATTCTTTCCCTGCTGATTTTCAGCTCTTCATTTCTTGTATTTCTCTGGTTTTTTAAGGATTTACAAGATGTTTTTATACTTCTAACTCTCTTTTTTTGGCTAAATTCAGCCAAGTCTTTTTATTCTCTTTGCCTTTGACTTCATTCTCCTGCTGCAAAAAAATCCTTTATTTGTGTGAGTCAAGTGAATTGATGACTAATAAAGGGAAAATTGATCTGGATGAGAGTGGAGTCATTGGAATCAGCATCCAGAGAAACATGAGTGGGCTGGAGTTCTCCCCAGAGGTGCAGAACAAAACCCTGATTTCATAACTCAGAGCTCGGTAGCATCACTTGGATTTGGTCTGAGAGGAATTAAAGTTGTTTCATGGGCAGAGGGAATGGTGATTCCAACAAAGTCCTGATGGCCAGGGAGCTCTGGAAACTGGGAAAAATATCTGTTAAGCGTCCAGTGGGTGAAAAAATAGCAATTTTGGGACTCCATTCCATGGCTCATATTCCTTCTGATGCTTCATAAAATCATTCCAGAGGGAAGATTTTTAATTGGGCTTCTCCCTCCAGCACTTCCAAAGTCTTGGGTGTGTCCAGGTGGGATCAGAACTGCAAGTTCCAAGCCTTCTTCAGCTCCCAAAGGAGTTCCTGGTGAAAACTGGGAATCCACTTCTGTAAAATTGGAATTTGATGGAAAAATTAGAATTGAGTCCTGAATTTCGGGCGGGGGTTTCAAGGAAGTATCCTTTGGATAATGCCAAGGCATTTTTGGATCTTGAGGATAATTATTTAATCTGAATGCAGTCACAGTATTTTAAAATCTGCTGTGAAATTTAATTATGAAATCGAATATTTTAATTTACCAGGAAGAACAAAAATTTGGGAATTTTTATGACAAATATTAAACACACCAATAAATATGAATTATAAGTAATGATATCAGAATCACAAGATATTGATTGCAGTGAATTTACAGGTTTTGAGTGTTTTTGAACATCCCTGCTACCCTGTTTTCATATCCCCTGTCAATGTCACATTTTCTGAAAAATCTCTTCACCAGGATTACTTCTCCTGGGAAGCTGAGAAGCCTCAGAGAAAAAGGAAAACAATATTATCTCATTTGCTTCTCCTGTGTTGTGCTGCATTGGAATGTGGTTGGAGATTGTTTATCCAACACGTGAATTGTTTTGACTCAATGCCCAATCACGGTCAGGCTGTGTCGGACTCTGAGGAGAGAGTCACGAGTTTTTAATTAGTATCTTGTTAAGGATCCTTCTGTAAAGATCCTTTCTCTATTCTTTAGTATAGTCTTAGGATAGCATTCTTTTATATAAAATAGTAAATTAGCCTGCTAAGAACATGGAGTCAGATCCATCCTTTCCTCCTTCATCCGGGGGACCCAGCAAATACCACAATCCCCGCCAACCATGGGAATGCCTTCCCAAAAACCCCCCTGGGAGGGTGGGATTCTGCTGTGGCCAGGGGGGGTTTGTGCTGATTGTGTGCCAGTAAGGATCCCAAATGGATTTATTTCTTCTCCCCCATGGAACCCCCGGAACAGCAACTGTTCAACTGCCAGGCCCTGCGCAAGCTCAGCATCCCCGACAACGACCTGTCCAGCCTCCCCACGTCCATCGCCAGCCTGGTCAACCTCCGTGAGCTCGACATCAGCAAGAATGGTGAGGGCTCCCCTTCCCCAGCATCCCCTGAAAAAACAGGAGCTGAGATGGAGTTTTGGCTCCTCGTGGTGCAGACATTCGCGCTCCGTCTCAAGTTCCGCGCACGGCGCTTTGGGGAAGGGTCTGTGCAAACCCAGCTCTGGTTTTTCCTTTAAAAAATTGGGTTTTCTTCAGCATCCTGTGCTCTGGGGGCTTCTGCCCAGCTGGGAGTCAGAATGTGAGGCCAGTTTTCCATGCACTTAGGAACATTCCACTTCCAAAGGGGTTCAGAGCTCATTGGGCTCTTGTGTGGGGGGTTTAAACAATTCCCAGGATTTATCTGGGCTGGTTTGCTGCTGTGCATTCCCAAATCTGGGAATTTTCATTCCATTTTCATATCAGTGGGCCTAAAACCCTTTGCTGCCTGAGCTCAAGGGTCTTAGTTTTTAAAAAATGAGGCTTAGGAACTCCTGGAAATTTTGGGAAATTTCCTGTCAGTGGAGGTCTGGAGACTGTGAGAGAAAAGCAGTTTGGGAAAGGATGAAGGCACAAATCCCAGCACAAATTATGTCACTGTTAATTCTAGAGCATTGTATAAAACACTATCAGAAAAGTTATAATTTCGTATTTTCATGTATTTATTTAGGGCTTGAGCATCACCTTTTGGATGATAATTCCAAACTGTGTTTCCTTCCTGCTCGAGTTGAAGTCTGAGCTGGAAATCCCAACTGAGCATTTATGAACAGACCAGGCTGAACAGTTTTTGTGTAGATAACGTCTGTGTCTAATAAATATTTTTGTGTATCTAATACTCTTTCCATGTTTTTTTAGGAATCCAAGATTTCCCAGAAAACATTAAGTGTTGTAAGTGTTTAACAATAATCGAAGCCAGCGTCAACCCCGTGTCCAAGTGAGTACCAGGAGCTCGTTTTGCTCATTCCAAGGGCACAAAATGAGCTCAGGCTTAATCTGAATGTCTTTCTAATTGTTTAAATTTAAACAATTTAAATTTGTTTCTAATTTAAACCCAAGTGGGTTTGTCTGAGATCTGAGTACTCCGGGAGTGCCAGTCCGGCTGGGCAGTATCCATACACAGGGGTGAGGCTTCACCTTGGCCAGCCTTAATTCCTCATTCCTTCCAAAATCTTGCAAAAATAGCAACAAAAAATGAGTTGTAAATCCAGGATTTACAAAATGGAGTGAAGGGGAGAAAGGGTGAAATGGTGATGTTTCAGTTTTAAAAAAATGGAGAGAAATAGATGAGGGAGAGGGACAAAGAATGAGAGGAAAAGAGAAAGAGAAAAAGAANTTTTATTCCCTGTTTCTTTGGGGTTTATTTTCCTATTCCTGTGTAGTTTTTTTCCTGTTTCTGTGGAATTTATTTTCATGTTCCTATGGACTTTATTTTCCTGTTTCTGTGGGGTTTATTTTCCTGTTTCTGTGGAGTTTATTTCCTATTTCTCTGGAGTTAATTCTCATGTTCCTGTGGAGTTTATTTTCCTGGTTTTGTGGGGTTTGTTTCCTGTTTCTGTGGAGTTTATTTAATATTTCCATGGAGTTTATTTCCTATTTCCGTGGAGTTTATTTCCTATTTCTGAGGCGTTTATTTCCCTATTTCCATGGAGTTTATTCCCTGTTTCTCTTGGGTTTATTTCCTGTTCCTGTGGGCTTTAATTCCTGTTTTTCTGGAGTTTATTTCCCTGTTTTAACAAAGGAAAAGTGGCATTTTCTGGCAGTAAAACACAGCACAGCCTGGTTGAAATGCTGAAGCAGGGCTGTGTTTTTCAGCCACAGCCTTTCAACAATAATCACTTTTACCTCTGGCACAAATTGCAGACATAAAATGGTTGATATTTCAGATCACAGCAATTAGGGCTATGCTAATTTTTTGATTAGGATCTGATTACCTCAGGAGGCCTCTGAACTGTTGTTGCAGTTCGTGTTAAATGATTTAATTATTTTTATCCTCTTTTTTTCACTGCGTCCCCCAAACCCAGCGTGGTGTTTGGTTCCCTTTGGTCTGTCAGGGCTTACGGAGAAATTCTGCCCTTGGGATAAAGCCCTGCTCCACTTTTGTTCATGGAAACGAAGGCAAAAATTGATTTATTAACTTTGAACTTGATTAAATCTGAACCTCAGAGCAGGGGACCTGGCTTAAGAGTCCAAACACTTTCTAGTGGTTTGTAAAAAACCACAGCAAAACATAAATCTCTCTCCAAAAGCCACAACTTCTGTTATATTGCATTTCAATCACTTATTGATATAACATGGGGCATTTTCCCAGAGCAAAAATCTACCAAGGTTTTGTTTATTTTTATATGAAAACAACTGTTGCTGGTTTTTGAGTTCAATGACTTCAGTCAGTATCTCAAGGATGGAATTTATTGTTGGAATTTGCATCAGCATCAAACTGGTGCAATTCTTTTTTTTTGCCATCAGAGTATCAATGCAGCTTTATTTTCCCACTAAAATATTTTCCTTTATTTTCATGCCCCCAAAACCTGACCGATGTTTTGCCAGTTAAAATCTCATTTTGAGTCTTTGCCCACCTGTTCCAGGTCAATGCACAAGCTGACCCAGCTGGAGAGGCTCGATCTGGGCAATAATGAGTTCTCTGAGCTGGTAAGAAATGCTCCAGTTTTTAAGGGGAAACCTGGGGGATTTGGGTGCTCTGTCCATGGGGCATTAAACTTTTACTTTGTGGGATCGTGGCCTTGGGCAAGGGGCTCATTTCCATCCAACCCAAACCAGTCTGGGATTCTGCAATTCCAGCAGAGGCCAGTTCTGAACCTCATAAGGAATTTCTGCCCCTAACTCACCCCCAGAATCAGAATTTCTTTCCCTGAGATTGAAATGTTTTGGGAATTTTCCCTGTTGTCAGCGCAGGGAGTGAGAGATGCTGTTCCTTGGGAGCCATGGAAGGGCAGGATCAGGGATTACAGTCCTACAAGGGAATAGTTCCTGTGGCTTTAGTTAAAACTGAGATAATTCCACTTCAAACAAAGCCTGAAATGTCACCTGGTGCTGCAGAGCTGTAGCAAAGTCTCTACATCTGTTTTATGGAGCAGCTCCCACCCTGTTCCGGGCTGCTCATTTATTCCATGCAGGAGGAAAGAGAGGATTTAACTCCGATTTTTAATTAAAATCTTCAGCGTGGATAAACAGAGAGAAATTTTCGGAAGAGCTGTTTGGAATTTTAATTGTGGGAATTAAATCCTGCCCGAGTTCAGGGCCTCTCTTCTGGGGGTTTGAAAGGAATTGGACAATATTCCACATATTTCCATGGCAGCCCAGTGATCCCACGAGGAGAGAGGTGATCCCATCCTCCTGTTAGGCCCAGAATTCCCAAATTTACTCATTTTTCAGCCAAAATGTAGGAAGTGGAATCAAATTCCAGGAGGCAAATGGGCCAAGAGGCCAAGGCAGAGTGGGAATGTGCAGGAAAATTAGAATAGAATAGAATAGAATAGAATAGAATAGAATAGAATAGAATAGAATGAAGAATAAGAGGAAGACTGAGAATTAGAATTGAAGAGAAAACAAAAAAGAATAGAATAGAATAGAATAGAATAGAATAGAATAGAATAGAATAGAATAGAATAGAATAGAATAGAATAGAATAGAATGAAGAAGNCTCAGTTTTCAGCCTTAAAATGTTGCTGTTTTCAGCCTTAAAACCGAAACCAGTTTTGGTTTTGAATTCTGGTTTGAATTCGTGATTCTTTCAGGCTCTGACTGTACCCAAACAGACCCCTGTGAAAACAGAGGGTTGGTTTCAGCCCCCCGGTTTTATTCATTCTTTTTGCTGTCAAAATTCAGATTTTTTCCCTTGAAAAGTTGTTGTTTGGCTTTACCTGTTGTGGGCAATGGAACGTAGGAGTTTTCTGCTTTGCCTTTTTCTCCAAATCCCTCAGGCTGGGCTGAATTTCTGGGGTTCTTAGCTGCCACAATTTAAGTTACAAAAGGATTTCTGTGCATTCAATTATGTAAAAATTAATTTTTCCTATTTTGTATAATATTTTCCTATCGATGATCCAATATTTTCCTTGATCAAGGGGAAATTGGATAAATATTCCTCTCATAATTTAAAACCAAAGGACAGCCTGGTTAAAATTTTCCATTAAAAGGAGAAACGGACACAGGAAGGATCTTCCTTAATTAAGATTTTCCTTCTGGGTAATGAATGAAGGGGTGAAAACAAGATTTTGGTGCAGTTATAATTGAAAATATCTGGTTTGGCTTCCCAATTAGATATTGGGGAAAAAACTTGGGAGAAAAACACATTTTTCACCCACTAGAATTTCCTCTTAGGAATTTCCATATAATGGAGTTTTCTCACTGCTTAGAATTCCAAATGTAATTTGATTTTTTATTCTGTAAATACAATGTGAAAAAATGACATTTTTATCTGTCATTCATTCTGTTTTTTCCCCAGGCCTTCCCACTGTTTTTCCATATCTCTTTCTCCCCCCAGATTTAGAGATATTAATTTTAATTTGAATTAATCCCACCAAATGAATGTGCCAGGAATCCACAACTCCTCAAAATGTAGGAAAAATCATTTGGGAACAAGGCAGAGGGAGGAAGCTTTCCTGTTCTTGCTGAAATTTAGATTTATTTGGATTATTTGTAACTCTTATTTATGGTTATTTCTTAAAGTGCTGGGACTATGTATAAGGAGGATAAACACATTAAGGTTTTCAAGCAGCATCATAAAAACTGCATGAAAAGCAGATTTTTGTCTTGTTTTTGAAACAAAATCAGGTGAATTAAACGAGAATCTTCCTATTATCAACAACAGAGGCTGTTTTGCAGAGGTTAATGTTGAAAATTTGAAGTTTGTAACCCCGTGGGGTGACAATTTTTGTGCTTTCTGCACAGAGGGAGAATTGAATGAATAACCCAGAAATTTAAGAGTGACATTCCAAGATTCCAAGAGTGACGTTCCAGCTCTCCCAATCCTTTACCCCATTTCTGGCAGGAATTTGCTGGATAAAAGTGATTTTTACTGCCAGGAACCTGACAGCAGAGTGGCCCAAAGCTCCCCTGTGCCTCACAAACATCCCTGCCACAAAACCCTCATTCCTCCCTTCCCAACCCCGCTTTTGGAAGCTGCTTGGCCAAAATCACAGTTTTTTGGGTTTTTTTTTTTTGAAACCTGTTGAAGTCAGTGGAAGAGACAAAAATATTTGCAGCGTTCCTGGTGCCCTGTTTGCCTCAAATTGCAGCTCTGGCTGCCTTGGGGAGCCCACACCCCCCCAGATTCACTCCCTTATCAAAATATTGGCAATATTTGAATCAGCAGCTGCTGCTCCTGTGAACTTTCCCTTGAGGATTCTCCAAGCTGGATCCGTGTGCTGCTCAGGGAAGAGGA